ATCATGCTCACGTCCGATTCTCCTGCAGATTTAGAAGGAGGAGTTCCTAGACTGCTGCAGCATCTATAGAAGAAAGTATGGGCTGTGAAAGGCACCAAGGTTCAGGGACCTGATTTGTTTGTAAAGTTCTTGGGGGTTGTCTGGTTGTATAAAAACAAAGTTGTCCCAGAAGCAGTCATTGATAAAGTTCAGGCCTTCCCTATCCCTATAACTGTGGCATTGTTACAGGAGTTTTTGGGTCTTCTAGACTTCTGCAGAGTGTTTATCCCAAACTTCGCAGGAATTCTGAGGCCCTTATACTGTTTGGTATGAAAGGGTGTCAGATGGGACTGGAATGAGACATGTGCATCTGCTTTTACTACAGCAAAATGGGCAGACAAGGCTGTGCAGGCCTTGAGTGTGATAGACCCATCAAGGCCCTGTGAGCTTCATGTTCATGTGACTGAAGACGGTTATGGTTGGGGTCTCTCACAGTGGCTTGAACGAATTCACCAACCTATTGGATTCTGGTTGCAACTAGGGAAAGGAGCAGAGGTCTGATATACCTTAGTAGAAAAATAACTGGCTGCCATGTATCATACCCTGCTGGCTACAGAACCCATCAATGGCCATGATAATGGTAATAAACACCTATCCCATCTCAGGGTGGGTATAAGACTGTACCCAAAAGCCAAGGAGTGGTGCGGCACAGACACCTACACTCACCAAGTAGGGTGCATACCTACAGCAGCATAGTGCCCTTTCCACTAACCCCTTGAGTGAAGAACTCCAATGCTTATTGGGGCCAGTGACATATACTAGTGAAAGGCGGGAAGTATTTACTTTAGAACTATTCATAGCAGAGAGTCCTTATTGTGAGGGAAGAGCCCCTATACCAGAAGATGCATGGTACACAGACATCTTCAGCTGTGGGCAGCCCCCAAAATGGAGGGCCATAGCTTTCCATCCTAAGACAGAGACAATATGAATGGAGGATGGAGAGGGAAAGAGCAGCAATGGGCTGAGTTGTGGGCAGTGTGGCTTGTGATCAGCCAGGAGCCCACCCCTGTAGCTGTCTGCACTGACAGCTGGGCTGTCTATTGGGGCTTGACCCTGTGGCTACTGACATTGTACCATGCCAACTGGATGGTTGGTCACCAGCTCCTTTGTGGGCAAAAGTTGTGGCAAGACTGAATGGGCTCGTGGTCAGACTAAAACAGTTACAGTATATCATATGACAGGTTATTTTCCACTGGCATCCCCAAGAAAACAGTGAAGCAGATGAATTGGCCCAGGTATGCTGGCTAGAAGGAAAGTCTGCTTCTGATGTAGCTCAATGGTTACATCAGGGTTTGTTGCACATAGGACAAAAGACAATGCGGGTTGTAGCCCATTGGTGGGGCCTACCTTTGACCTTTGAAGAAGTCAGCAGAGCCCAGGAGGAGTGCATTGTATGATCTAAAATGGACTTATACCAAGTCCTGCAGCAATCTGGGATAATAACTAAGGGGCTGATACCCCTCATCAGGTGGCAGATGGACTATATTGGGCCTCTCCCTATGTCAGAAGGGTACCAATATGCCATGAATTGTGTGGACACAGCTACTGGACTTCTGGTTGCTTTTCCTACACATTGTGCAAACCAATGGATGATCAAAAGAGGCCTGGAGTGTCTCTTTGTAGCCCATGAGCAACTGTAGGTGAGTGAGAGTGATCAAGGCACCCACTTTACTGGACATACACTAAAAGAATGGGTACAATAATTAGGAATCAAATGGAAGTTTTATGTACCATATAAACCTACCATGGCAGGCATGATAGAAAGGTACAATGGTTTGTTAAAATCTGTACTGAAGTCAGACACCAATAGTCCATGGGGATGGTCAGTCTGCTTATGGACAATGCTACAGCGTTTGAATGAGAAACCCTGTAAGGGAGTCCTGAGCCCCATAAACATGCTAACACATATTGTTGCCTCCCTTATACAACTGCAAGTACAAACCAAGGAAGAATCATTAAAGCCAAGGTTTGGCTGCCAGAATATCTTGCTGTCAGCACTAACTGCACTAAACCCTGGAGACTCCATTGAGTGGATGTGGCCCTGGACATTCTGACACATGGACCAATGATGGCTGGTTTTCCTGGCACCTGGGGGACAAGGCCTGGAAGCTGGCCTCCTGTGCATTCCTGGAGTAACAGCAGAGTGGCCCCCAAAGATCACAGTAGTATATCCTGAATGGCCAGAATGTAAGAGCATCTTACCAGGGAGTTTTATTTCGTCATTATGGCCAGTGCATGTACCTCCAGTAGCACTATATATAGACCCCTCAGTAACTCCCATGGGAAGAGGTATAAAGGTATAGTAAGACCTGGATGGGACCCCCTTCCTGTTACAGTTCTATCACAGGACCACTCTCTTGCATGCATCCCTCCTGATGGACAAGATTTGCCTATGTCAGTGTCATTAAAACATGTATCTTATCGCCCGTGAGGTCTTTGTGGATTGGACACACACCCTAGCAAATAACTGCTACTCACTAGGGTGTATGGAGCTCCCTAGCTGTACCACTACTGGCCTCTCCTGGAAAGTGCAAACCATGAACTGGGACTGGTGTGAATATAACTGGGATGACTGCTTGGTGGCAATTAATTTACTTGAGCTTGAGGCCAACTATTATTATTATAATTATTGTTGTCACAAGATTCCAGCATTCTTGCACAGGGACCACTGCAGAAGATTGATTTCTTCTGTAGCAAGTGCAAGTCATGAACTCATCTGAGTAGAACTGGTTTGAATACAGCTGGAATGACCTCCTCAGCCTTGAGGATTATCATAATTTTTATTATCTGTAGGTTGTTATCTTCTTTTGCTGTTGTGGAATCTGGTTACAATACTCCAGCTTTCTCTCACAGGGACCATCACGGAAGATTGAGAGTGTGGAGATTGTGAGGCAAGAATCATGGAGGGGTGTAGTAAGAGGAAAATGGAAGTGCCTATGGCCAGGATCCTCACCTGAACCTAAACTACTTGATGATGTAACTGGCCTGCTACTGGGTTACCGTTTCCACACCCATAGGCAATAAGTTATTATTGACTGAGTCACTATATAAAGAGCTCTGCCTAGTGCTCTGTACAGAGGCAGATATGGAAGTGGATTATGGACTTCAGACTGCTGGATGCAGACATGATTCTAGTGCTCAAAATACTGCCATGAGAATAAAACTGGGTATAAACTCTCTTACCATCAAGAATGTTCCATTGTTATTTCTCAGTCTCACTGAACCATAGTGAACTTGCCCTGGGCTGAAACCCTCAGGTAAGACAGTCTCAAAGAACAACAGGTAATAAAAGCTCCTGATCCTAATTGGTGGCAGGGCCAGGTATTCTGTTTAATACCACATTCTATCTATTCTGTCATCTACCGATCTATTTTGATCTTTCTATTCAGCTGTTGAGAAATGTGGGCTCTTCCCAGTCAGCGACTGTTACAAATGAGGTGCCTCAAAATTGATGTACTTACACGTTCATTTCTTTTGAGAAAATACCTAGGAGTGGAAGGGCTGAATCATATGGTTAAGTTTATGTTAACTTTTTAAGAAACCACCAAATTGTTTTCCACAGCCACTGTACCATTTTATGTTCTCATCAGTAGCGTATGAAAGTTCCAGTCGATCTACATTCTCATGAGCACTTTGTATGGTTATTCATTTTAATGTTAGCCATTCTAAGAGGTGTGTAGTGGTATCTTATTATGATTTTAACTTGCATTCCCATAACGACAATTTTCGTATGCTTATTTGCCAAGTGTGTATCTTTCCCAGTGAAGTGTCTGTTCAAATCTTTTGTCCATTGTTTAAGTTTGGTTTGTTGTTTTCTTGCTGAGTTTTCAAAGTTCTTTACGTATTTTAAGCACTCAAGTCTTTTATCAAATACATGATTTGCAAATATTTTCTCCCAGACAGTGGTTTGTCTTTTCATTGTCTTAACATTGTAATTGGAGGGTTGAAGTTCTTTATTTTGAGGAAGTCCCGCTGACCAACTTTTCTTTTGTGAATTGTGTTTTGTGTCATTTCTAAATACCTCTTTGCTTAGCTCGTTTACAAAATTTCCTGTTTCCTTCTAGATTTTTACAGTTTTAGGCTAATCTTTAGATTATGATATATTTTCAGTTAATTTTTATATTTGGTGCAAGGTACAAATCTGAGTTCAAATCTTTGCATATGGAAATCCAATTGCTCAGCACCTTCCTTTCTCCACTGCATTGCTTTTCGATTTTATCAAAGTCAGTTGTCCATATATGTATGCATCTCATTTCTGGACTCCCTGTTTCATTCCATTGATCCCAGTACCATATGTTTTTATTGTTATAGCTTTGAAGTAAGTCTTGAAGTCACATAAGTGCTAGTTCCCCAACTTTGTTCTTTTTAAGTTGTTTTGGCTATTCCTGTTTCTTCAAGTCGGATGGTAAACCTAGTCTCTGTCATTTCCCAGTGGGTTGGAAGTCCGAAGACTCTTTGAAAATTCCTGATTAGAATTTCTAATAATTTTTTCTCTTACATGACTGTATCGATTTTCATTTATAGCAGCTGATTCCCTTTTTATTATTACATTATTACTATTATATATTATATATTACCATTATTACCACTATCATTATTAGGCTTTAAAATGCATTCTGGGTCGTCACAGGGCCTATAGCCCTGGCGCGTCCACCTTTTCCCTCCCCGTTCCGCTCTCCTCCCTTTCCCCTCCCCGTTCCGCCCTCCTCCCTTTCCCCTCCCCGTTCCGCCCTCCTCCCTTTCCCCTCCCCGTTCCGCCCTCCTCCCTTTCCCCTCCTCCTTCCGCCCTCCTCCCTTTCCCCTCCCCGTTCCGCCCTCCTCCCGTTTCTCTTCCTCCGCCCCTCCAGCCCGTCCCCACTTCCTCCGCCCCTCCCTCTGTTCCTCCCTTTCCCCTCCCCCTTCCGCCCTCCTCCCTTTCCCCTCCTCCTTCCGCCCTCCTCCCGTTTCTCCTGCCCCGGCCCCTCAGCCCGTCCCCACTTCCTCCGCCCCTCCCTCTGGCGTCCGCCTCATCCGCGGGAGGCTGTCCCGCCCCTTCAGCCCTCCTCGCGGGGGCGAGAGCTGCAGCGGTGCTTGCGAGTCTTCCGTCAGGGTCAACGGGCGGGTCCCCGGGGCGGCCTCCCTGCGCGTCGCCGAGCCGCGCCGCGGGGGGCGATGGCGATGACCTACAACGCGAAGCGTGAGGTGGACGGCGGGCCCCTATGTGCCCGTGGGGGCGCCGCGAAGAGCCGCAGGCCGGACAACACGGCCTTCAAACAGCAGCGGTTGCCGGCCTGGCAGCCCATCCTCACGGCCGGCACGGTGCTCCCCACCTTCTTCATCATCGGCCTCATCTTCATCCCCATCAGCATCGGCATCGCCGTCACTTCCAACAGCGGCCGCGAGATCGAGACGGATTATACCGGAACAAACCCTTCCAGTCCCTGCAATAAATGTTTGTCTCCAAATGTGACACCTTGTGCTTGTACCAGTAACTTCACACTGGAACAGCCATTTGAGGGCAATGTGTTTATGTATTACGGGCTAATTTCTATCAAAACCATCGTCGTTATGTGAAATCTCGAGATGATAGTCAACTAAATGGAGATTCTAGTGCTTTACTTAACCCCGGTAAGGAATGTGAGCCTTATCGAAGAAATGAAGACAAACCAATGGCTCCTTAGGGCGCCATTGCCAACAGCATGTTTAATGATGCATTATAGAGTTGTTTCTGGTTGGCAGTGAATCTGATCCTATGTCTCTTCATTTGTAAAAGAAAGGGATTGCTTGCTTGGTGGACAGATAAAAATGTGAAATCCAGAAATCTCCCTGTAGGAGAAACACTGGAAGAACGATACAAAGGTACAACAAAGCCAGTAAACTGGATTAAACCAATATACATGCTGGATTCTGAACCAGACAATAATGGGTTCATAAAGGGGGAGTTTATTGTTTGGATGTGTACTGCAGCATTACCTATTTTTCGTAAGTTATATCGTTGTACAGAGTGGAAAAGTCATTTACACGCCACATTACCAGCTGGATGATACTATTTGAATATCACATACAATTATCCTGTACATTCTTTTTTTTGGTTATTAACCTTTGAGTTTTTTTTATATCATTAATATACACTTACATGAGCAGCATTGTGGTTACTAGATTCCCCCCATTATCAAGTCCTCACCACATACCCCATTACAGTCACTGTCCATCAGCGTAGTAAGATGCTATAGAATCACTACTTGTCTTCTCTCTGCTGTACTGCCTTCCCTGTGCCACCCGCTACATTGTGTGTGCTAATTATAATGCCCTTTTCTGTACATTCTTTTGATGGACGAAAATTGATTATCTTGAGCACTATTTTATGGATGGGAAGAAAAAAACCAATTTTGGTGATTGCTTACATCACTATTGGATCCATCTCCTTCCTTCTGGGAGTTGTATTGCTAGTAATTAACCATAAATATAGAAACAGTAGTAATAACTGCTGACATTACCATTTAATTTTATATTCTGAAAACATTTACTGCATGTGCATCCAGGCCGTCCTATTCAACCTAGCTTTTAAGTGCTTATGTCTGGTTAGTATGTCATTTTTGAAGTTGGCACATAACTTTTTTTTCTTAAACAGTCTTTGTCCTTTGCATCTTGCTTATGGATGACTTATGAAAATTTATGACGGGTATAAAACAAATTAGCTCTGTTGATCATATCAATACTGTAACTGCTGAAATGATGTCTGCTTTTGTTGGGACAGGCCAGTGACGCAGAGGCTCTTTCATGTGAAGCGTGCTCCTGCTTCAATGTTCTTGCTGTGTTGATAATAGCATATAGACATATGATGCTGTGCATGTGCGCCTGTCGTGTGAAGAAAGGATTACAAGATGTATGAGTATAATGACTTGTTAACCTTCCAGGATTCAGAGTTATGAAAAGACGAAAGACCAAATCTAAATAAAACACTTCGTCATTTTCAAAATAAATAAATTAAATTAAATTAAATAATAAAATAAAATAAAATGCATTCTAATCTTTCATTTGTTATAATTATTCCTCAGAGTCAGGGAAGGGCAGAAAGTCAAGAAGAAATTTTCTGACTAGGAAAGAGGCTTGATTTTCTACTGTTTTAATTCTCTTCTTACTAAAAATTCCTATAGAGTAAGTTTTCTCAAATTCTGGTGTACATCAGAATCATTAGAGGAGTGTACTTTAAAAATACAGATCCCCAACACTCCCTCTCTCCAACCCAGCATCTCAGAGTACAGGCAATCTGTAGGATATTTTTAAGCCAGTATTCAGGGGACTGTGATGTATACCAAAGGTTAGGAGCCTCCATTATAGAGAAGCCTTGCAGACCACCTAGACCAGGCACTGGAAAAGTACTAAGTTGTAAATTTCTCTCCTCAGTATTCCCATTCCTTTTTACCCCTCCACGTAGGCTCTTACATCTCTCTGTCTATCCCTAGCAGAGTAGACTTTCACAAATTATTTCAAGTGTTGTTCTAGAAATACCATATTGGCACGTTTTCTCACACTGCCTTCCAAATCACACAGTCAACAGCTTCGTGGGAGATTCTGCCTGCCCCAAGCCCTGCTGGATTATTGGTTCAGGGTGCATATAAGCAAACATCAGCCTTGGGCGGACTGGGTAAACGAAGCAGTGGATGCAGTGTGGACCCCTGCAAAGCGGTGAATGAGCTGGGCCAGTCAGTGCCTACACTGTGCAAAATATGCAGAATCGGCCAGTCCAGAGACAAATCAGACTGGTGGCTGCCAGGGCCTATGGGGAGATGGGGTGGGGAGTGACTTCTTAGGGTTACGGGCTTTCTTTTGAGGTGACGCAATGTTTTGGAACTAGACAGAGGTGGTGGCTGCACTAAATGCCAGGAATTGTTTGCTTTAAAATGGTGAATTTTATGTTATGCGAATTTCCTCTAAAGAACAAAAGGTGGGGAAGTGGGTGCTATAGTGACACCCTTAGGGCCCCCAGGGAAAGTGTTCCATGGGAGAGCCTAGGGGACACACCCCATGTCAGGCATGTGCTGGTGAGGGGATGTCATTCAGTTCTGTGTGGCCACCTCTGCAGGGCCGACAACACGAGAGGAAGGCACAGAACCTGGCTCTCTGAGAGCAGTTGGGGTGACAGGATCCCGAAGCACCTGAGGCCAGGTGGCAGTGTTTACCTGACCCAGGTTGGGAGTGGGCATGATTGCGCCGCAATTACTGTAAGTCTCAGCAGGTCAGAGGGGCAGCTGAGAGGCTGGACCCACAGGGCCTGCATAGGTGCTTCGTATATGTAACAGTATATATATGTAATAAAACACAAAGAACCAGCAGGTTCCTTAGAAACTTGGGATAACCCTCAGGTGCTCAGGCTTTGCTGGGGGAGCTGGGCACACCAGGTCGGGCCCCTTGGGTATGGGCACCGTTGTGGGTGGGGAGGAGGGGTCTCCTGAAGATAAGTCCATATCTGGGATTGAATATTGGGTGAAGAGGCAATCCTCAGACGGAAACGGAGGCGAATGGCAGGCCCCAGGTAGATGAGAGAGGGAAGTTCTCTCTCTTTTGCTCTGTGTCTTTTTCAATGGCCTGGATTTTGAGGACTTTGCCTCGTTGATGGTATTCCAGGATGACATGGGACAAAAGCCCCGAATAAGTGGTGGCAGGCCAGCAGCTAAACTCAGAGACATCCCTGTGAGACAGTAGGTCCTGAATGTGCCTGTATGTCAGAATCCCACAAAAGCCTTAAAATATTGCACACACACCTCCCCCCCCCGGGTCCTATCCCCATGACAGTTCTTTCAGAAGGTTGAGGAGGGAAAGGGCAAGTGGGAATCGTATTTTCAAATATCAATTCAGGTCATTTTAAGGTGCTCTTCCAATATGAGCTCAACTGCTTTAGGGAATCTTGCAGTGCCATCCATGGACGACGAGGGAAACGTGAACCAGGGTGAACAGAGTCCCAGGGATGAGGAGGCGCCTGTAGAGCCACAGTGAAGGGTTTGGATTTTATCCTTTTTGCAAGAAGACACTGGAGCATTATAAATGGGGAGTGATAGGATTGATTCACACTTCCAGAATTATCATCTCAGAGCTATTAAAATACTACAATACTAAAGGGGTATTATTATCCACTCATGAGAAAAGTCAGATTGTAAGCTTTTAGGGTCACTTCCCTTCATATCTCCACTGTCTTCAGAGTTTTATCTTAAAGCAGAGATGAGTTAGTCATTTGAACATTTTACCATGGAATAACAAAGCCACAGGGTTGGGAAAAGCCTCAAGAGGACACCTAGTTCAACCTGCCAACCAGGCAGGTTTGTACCTAAATCATGTCAGGGAGAGGAAACCTGACGTTTGTGCCACTGCTGACTCTGAGGATCAGTTTCCCATATTCCCTGGTGTGATAAGATCACCACCACTCTGATGAGAAATTTGAATAGTAAAGAAATTAAACAATAAGAAAACAAGAAACTAAAAAATCCCTGGGACCTTTGGATACTCCAAATACCGTCTGCTTAAATCCCCCCTCTGAAAACTCCAATCTACCATTGGACCTTTTACATAAAATTACATCGGTTCAAATCCATTCCACAAATGTTGATGGAGCACCAAGTACCTGCACGGTGCTCTGCAGGACACAGGGGAGTGACTGATACCTAAGACACATTCTGAAATGGAAAGTTAGGCCTCTTAAACATCATGTCAAAGGAGATACTTATAAACATGGGAGCACGATCACTATATACCATTATGTGAAAATAGTCACGCCCTATCTGATACTGTTTTGGTAAAACCAAAGAAAGTTGAGAGAGAGAGAAGGATTGGAATAATCCTCAAGTTACAGGTATAAAATTTTAAACAAAGACATATGATATGTGTTTAAAAATGATGTGTATAATTGGAAAATTATATCACAGGACTTCTAGTTTACATCACTTGCTAGTATAAGAAAAGGTAACGTAATAAGGAGAGAGCAAAACACAAAATGAAATGAGGAAGCCTCCTTGCAGGATGGCAGGAGGGGAAGAAACACTGAAAAATCTGCCAAGATCCACGTCACCCTGGTCTTTTTTCAATCCTGGTAACTTTGCTGTTTCAAGCACATGCTGACACACGCCAGTAATGGGAACATATTAGAGTACCAGTGCCCGGAAGAATCCATCTGGCTTTCAAACGTGGTTCCATTATGGGTTTCCATGGCGCCTCCAGGTCCAGAGTGTGGGGAACGTGTCCCCTGGAGCTCAAACAAAATGACAAAGGGACGCTCCGGCTCTATGGCAGCAGATAACATTTCCTTTTCCCACAGAACCACAGAGCCTTTTAAACAGCAAATGGAATAAAGATGTGGGCAGAAGGCCCCCTCCCTGGGATAAACAGATGGGGAGGAAGAAAGTAGAAAGCAGGTGTATTGCCAAAGAAAAATCAGGAACGTGAAAAACAACAAAATTTCAGAGTTAATTACACACTACTCTTCAAGGAATGAGAGATAAGAAGCCAGAAAAATACTAATTCAATAAAGGTCGAACAGACAATTCTTTCCCTAGTAGGAAAGAAAGGGAGAAGCGAGGAGCATCTTTAAACGCTGGCAATTATGCAAATGGAGAAAGAGTAAAGACTAAATTTCACTGGCCATGAAAGCCCACGTAATGAGGGAGGCTGCCAGAGACAAAACACGGTCTGAAGTGTTTACCGTCTGGAGCACACCAACAGCTTGGGAGGCATTTAGAACACATTATCTGAGTTGTGAAAAATTACCCTCAGAAATCTCAGAAATTAATCAAGGAGTTAAACATTTATTAAAAACAAGCTTAGAGATTATAGGGGAAAGGTCGGGTCTCAAGGGCCAGCGAAAGCTGGGTCAGCTAGTTTCTGTACCGTTTTCTGGTTGTGTTTGACCTGGAGCACGAGGTCCAGATGAAGTGGGGCTCCTGGAGGCCCCATCGGCGTCGACGGCCTCCAGTCCGCCCACAGGGAGAGAGCTGCTGGTGTAAGCTGTTCTTGCGAGAAGTCCATGATGCAACCCAACCATTGAACGACCCGGGACTCCTGACCTCCATGACGTTCGTACCCAGGGGAGGGATGCCAGCGTTTATTTGCAGCCAGCTACCTGCTAGGCTTGAGTACTGGGCAATGTTCAAAATCAAACCCAGCCCGTCTTTCCGTCCACAGTTGCCGAGGCCTAGACTGCAATGCCCAGGTGAGTGAGGCACTTGCTGTGGGTGACAGACTTCTGCCTGCCACCGTTTTGGTCAAATAGGAAAGGTCATTTGAATGGACAAGAGAGTCCGATGCGCTTCTTAGCTCAAGACTGAAGACGGGAGACATGCACAGAGTTATGCTGGAGGTGGTGAAGAAGAGGGTTTTTCCTGTTGTCTAGAGAGTTTGTACACACACCCCTCTGTGTGCGAGTCCTTGTCACATCAGGAGTGAGACCCAGCAAGCGTCTGATCTTTATGAACCTTTGCCAAAATGTGATGGGACAGAATCTTCAGGTAGTTCAAGAAGTGGAAACAAAAGGGAAAATTTCCTGTCCTCCTACCTTGGACTCATTTACCTTTTCATGAAGACCCAATTCCTGGTTCCTTTCCCTGTAACTCCATGAATTCAGACGTACATGAACATTTTACATGACCACATTTTCACCAGAAAAGGAAGAAAAGGAAGTAAGATTTTTAAAAAATCCCCTTAGCATCCTTTACTCACATTAGAATTTGCAGCAGATATCCTGAACTTCCTAAAGTTCTGTGACACCCTAAATGTCCTGTTCTCTCAGGTGGATGCTGTTTGGGGAGGTGAAAGTGGAATGGTTATGGGCTTTGGAGTGAAAAAGGTCCAGGTCTTCCAATGCCAGATTTGTCAATTCCTAGTTGTGTGACCTTGAACAAAATTTAATCTCACTGAATCTCTGTTTCATTGCTTGTAAAGTGGAAATAATAACATCTACCTTGTGGGAACATTCAGTGCAAAAATGCACATGAGATAAGATGCACTCAACACAGTGATTAGAGCATAGAACAATCTCAGTAAATAGTCACTATCATTATTATTATTGTGACTAGAATTTTGAAATAAATTTTTTCTTTGAATGATTCATTTAAAACCTTTGTATGGGCTTTAATATGTGCCACCTTCTGGACTAAATGTGCCATATGAATGTATGCAGGTATATCATGACAAAGCCCTCAACATGAAAAATATTGCCTACAAATGTTAAGAAGAAAAAATCAAAATTTTCCTAGCCTCCAGTAAATCTTGTTGAGCCAGGTTTATGTATTATTTAAGCGGGTTTTAGTTTCCCCCTCAAATTGAAGGTAACCTCTGGCATTCTTCCTGATGCCTAGAGTTTTGAGTTCTGGCGGTGTTTACATTTCAATGCCCTACAGGTCCAGGAAGTTCAGGTGATGACATCATATAAACTCCAAAATAAAAGTACGATGTGGAAACATTTGTGTTTCAAGTGATGTGCATTAGTATTCAGAGAAAGGAAGAAAGGACGGCTCCTTGCAGAACTCCTTCTGAATGTAACTTATTGTAAATTTAAGCCTCACACTTAGAAGAGTGAGATGTATTAGTCAGGGTTCAGCAGCAGAAAATAGAGGTGCCTATCAGGAGTTGGAAGAACAGGCCTCCAGGGGCTGCTGCCCTGCCATCATCAGGTAGCGAATCAAGAAGCTGCCCCAGAACTGTTGCCTCTGGGATTTTTGTACTTTTGATGCAAGTCTGGGATTGAAAGCCTTGTGGTCTCAGCTATTCTCTTAGAACCACATTTCTTGCCCCAGATGTGTTGGCAGAAACTAAAGTCCCCCCGTGCCTCTTGACCCCCAGGTAGCTGCGCTGTAAACACTGTTGCTCCATCACTAAGTTTGGCAGCAGCAAGATGCTCTGTGCTAACTTCACCTTCAAACATCATGGGGGTGCATTTAATGGAAGTACCCCAGGTCCAGAACCCAGCTGTAGGAGTCTGGAAAGGAGCTTTCTTACTTCTGAAGGAGGTACAGGAAGGCACTCTAGAAGGAGCTGGAAATAATGGTGAGTACCTACCCATCCCAGCATTGTAAGTTGGGTGGGGCAGGGCGGGGCTCAGAAGCTAAAGAACCAAATGTGACCATTGGCTGTGCCCTTACTCATAACTACCTGATCATGGTTAAAGTTCTTGGTTCCTTCCTGTGTACAGCAAAGAAGCTGGGCTATACTCTGAGCACCTTGATAGTTTTTGAAATAAAAATGTGCTTCTATGAAGAACATGTAAGACCATCTTCTGGCACCATCCGCCTGCCATTTACCTCCCAAAAAGAGTGTTGTTTTGTCTTTGTGGTTATTGTCCTTCCTTGGAAGTTTATGGTGGTAGCTGAATCTTAACTGTTTTCTGCTTACAGGGATCCCCCAGATGCCCTCTGACACATCCTAGCTGGGATCTTTAGAAAACAATGGAATTGGCTGTAGTTAGAAATAGGAAAAGGACAGGAAAAAAAGTTGGCAGAGCTGTGGTTCTCTGATCCCACATCTAAATTTCCAAAAGAGTCCCTGAATTGCTTGTGCTGTCAGCCAATATTCCCTGAGCCAGTTCTGTGAACATAACTGAGCTGGAAAACCTGATTCATGACTTGTATCAGCCTAGCTCATGCATTGGGTTGATATATACCCTAAGAAAATCCTTCTTAAAAAATTGTTACAGCAGTGCTGCTCAGACTGCAGTGTGCACTCAGATCTCCTGGGGTCCTGTTAAAGCAGATCCTGACTCAGAGGGTCAGGGGTAGGGTCTGAGATTGGGTGTCTGACAAATTCAGGTGCTTTGCTGAATTTGCGTGGTAGACCATCTTGGAGCAGTGAGGTCTCAGTTTGCATGCACTACACACCCACCCCTGCCTCAGTGCGTGAGTTAAAATGCAAGTTATCTGCTAGACTGTCTTAAACTGAAGATTCTGACCCTGAAGATAAGGAGCTGAAGGATCTGGATTTTTTTCCCAGTAAATATTAACTAGTGATCCTTCCATAAAGGCTCAGAGACACATATCCCCCGGTGTCTGGTCTGTAGTTTCTCCCCCTGCCATATTGTCCTATTTCCTTGCCCACTCTTCTGAAGCTAATTCTCTGGGCTTGGGCCTCATTTCCTCATCTGTAAAATGGGGATAGAGACATCTACTGCATACTGGTTGGAGGAATGGGTGAGACACTGCATGGCAAGAGTACTTAGTGTATTACTAGAAGCTTTGAAATGTTACTTGTTCCCTTGTCATGATTATTGTTATCATTGCCTCAAATTTAATTCACCTTGGCACCTCTCCTGTCGGGCATAACAAAAGAAGTCTCCTCAATATTCTCTCTCATTTCCATACATAGAAAACACGCTATTCACTCTTGAAGGATAAGGGTGAATGTGGAATGGTATGAGATGGAGAATTTTAAAAGCTTGCAAATTTTTAGACTGATGTGAAACCCTGTGACTTTATAGAACTGCTTGGCATAGTAAGTTATGGTAAGAAAAAGGAGAAAAATGTGACCAAAAAAAAAATTGAGCAAGTAATCAGAAAAGTAGACATAAGTTAAGAATGAGGATGGTCATGGCAGCTTTATGTATAATGACAAAGAAATTGGAAACACCCTATCATATTATATCCTTGTTTTTCTTTATAGTATTACCATCCAGCTGCGAACTGCCTGATAAAGTAGTTTTACCTGGCTTTGAACTTAATATATATGGAATCATACTATGTATATTCTTTCATTCAACATCATCTTGTTATGTTTTCTGTCTATTTGTTTTCATTGCTACATGGCATTCAGCTAATGTGTTCTTTGTTATTTCTTCCTTCTCCATAGCCTTCCCTGAGCAAACAGACCCACTGCCTCCATGCCCCAGGGATAACAATGCTACAACTGATCAGGTTAAAATGCTTTTTTTATTACTATTATTTCAAGAGCCCAGATCCTCAAAGATTTTCAGCTTAAACGGATTTACTGCAGGGTGTCTCCACCTCCACCTTGTGGACATTCTGGTACAGCTGACTCTCCACTGTGGAACTATCCTGTGCCACGAAAGGTGTCCAGCAGCATCCCTGACCTCTGTTGACTAGGTGCCAGTAGCACCTACTCCATCCTCCACTGTGACAACCAAAAATGTCTCCAAACATTGCCAAATAGCCCCTGGGGGGCAAAGTTGCCCCAACTTAGAACCATCTAGTTGGAAGAATAAGTAAAGAGCCAATGTAAACTGCTCCAACCACATGAAAATTCTCTGGAAGAGAAATTAAGAGGGTCATAAAGGAACACAGAGAGATGCTGGCACAAGATGCCTGTGAGATGGGCTCTATAGACAACCCCCAACTTACAGCCAGGTCCTGGGGTTCAGGGTCAAACGACTGAAACTCCATGTTGGGATCCCAAGCAGAAGACACCCATGTTCCCCATGCCCAGAGAGATGCCAAGGCACATGTTCTCCTGTGCCCATCAGGATGGGAGAAAAAGCTATTTACGCAGGCAGGTCCAAGACAGCCTCAACAGAGCTTCCTGCAGCCCAGAGAAAGCTGAGAGCTGCTGAATTTGTGGTGAGCACCTAAGGGTTATAACAAGACAACACAGGTGACCAGCAGCTGGGCTAGGGAAGGTAGAGCAGCGATCTGCATGCATCAGTGGCTACATTACATAAAAGCAAAAATGAAGATGACACCAAGGACCAGACACTGCCCTCCCCCACTGATGACTTGAATCCACTTAAGCCCCCTAAGAAATTGGGCACAAGTCCAGAAAATGCAAGGCAGATCTGAATTGACTGATAATTATAATTCCACAGTTAGGCAAAATAGGAGCTTAAGAGAAAATTACTGTTTAAAAATAATTTGAATCCAGGTCAATTAGACAAGAAAAAAGGAGTAGAAGGCATCCACATTGATAAGGAAGGAAGAAGTAAAACTGCCTGTATTCTCAGATGACATAATTTTGCATATAGAAAACCCTGAGGCATACTTACATACCAAAAACAAAAAACAAGAAAAAACCTACCAGAACTAAGAAACAAGTTTGCAGGATACAGGATCAAACAAAAACCTATTGTATTTCTAAACACTAGTAATGAACAATCCAAAAATGAAATAAAGAATTCAATGTTCAATATACAACAGTGTTAGAAAGACATTCAGGAATATACTTAACAAAAGAAGTATACAGGACTTGTGTTCAGAAACTATAAAATACTGTTGAAAGAAACTAAAAAGACCTAAATAAATGAAAAGACATCCCATGTTCGTGGATTGGAAGATTTAATATTATTAAGATGGTGATAATCCTCAAATTGTTCTACAGATTCAACAAAATCCCTATCTATCGAAACACCAGTTGCCTTCTTTGCAGAAATTGGAAGGTTGATCGTAGAATTCATATAGAGATGCAAGAGACCCCAAATAGCCAAAACAAGCCTGAAAAGAACAAACTAGGAAAACTCATACTTCAGTTATGAAGTTATAGTATAATCAAAACAGTGTGGTACTGGCATAAGAGTAAACATAGATCAATGGAATAGAATTGAGAATCCAGAAGTAAACCATTACATTTATGGCCAGTTGATTTTTAACAAGTGTGCTGAGACAATTCAATGAAGAAAGAATAATCTCTTCAACAAATGCTGAGACAACCTCATATCCACAAGAAGTTGGACCCACACCTCATACCACATACAAAAACTAATGCAAAATGAATAAAAACCTAAATGTAAGAGCCAAAAATATAAAATTCTTAGAAAATATGTGTTAACCTTTATGCCTTTAAATTAGGCAATGGGTTCTCATCTAGTACACCAAAAACACAAGCAGATTTTTAAAATAGTAAATTAGACCATTAAAATTAGAAAACTTTTGTGCTGTAAAGGACACTACTAAAAAAGTGAAAAAAACAATATACAGAATGGGAGAAAAATTTGCAAATCATATAACTGGCCACAGTTATTCTGGTGCACCAGAATAGCTTATTTTAATTTTTAAATTTGTTCTTTCTGTGGTCTTAGCAGCACCATACAACCAGGGTTCATGTGTTGGCCAATCTCCCCCCACCCATCTCCATCTCGGGTTGCCTAGATGATACCAAACACACCTTTGGGCTGTTCCACAATTCTGAACTTTGTGGATTGTAGTATTTTATATAAAATATAGATAATATTTTACTAAACTAATTTAATAGTTTAATAAAAATGTAGACTCTTCTTCACCCTCTTTCTAACAGAGCAATCCCTGTGTTTGCTTATCTCTCTGCTGGTATTCCTACATTTTTATTTCCATCCCTGACTCTGGGTCTTTAACTGCCCAGAGAAGCAGCCACAGTGAATTATTCTACTGTGACTTTCTCTGAACATAAATACTTCCTACTTCCTAAAACCAAGCCTTGAAAGTAGCTTCTCTTTACCTCTCTCTGTCTGCCAGTATTAACAGCAATATTTTCACAACTCTTGATAGCTTATTATGGATTCTCACTCATCTCATTTCACTTGCACAAGATCCTTGTGAGATCTTATAGCCATTTCCACTTCAGAGCAGCAGGAAGCTGAGACACAAAGAGTGGCAGATCCAGGACTCAAACCCAGGTCTAAAACATCCAAATCTAATAGCACTGTTCTCATTCCCACCAACCCTAAGCCTCTGTGGAGACTCTGATGCCTCCTTCCACTCCTACACAGCTAGTCCATCCCCAAGATTCAGACTGAGCCTGGGACGAGCTCACAGAAGGTGGCCGCTGATGAGGGTCTTGTGTTACCTCTTCCTTTGTAACCTTTCACCAGGTGGCCCTTCCTGTTCCCACACACATTGCAGGATGGTACGCAGGCTTCAGCATTGCCTGGAGGGCGTGTTAAGCATGACTGCTGGACCCCACCCCAAGAGTTTCTGATTCACTAGGCCTGGGTACAGCCTAAGAATCTGCACTTGCAGCTCCCTGCTGGCCTTCGCTCCCTATCCCAGGTCCTCTGTACACCATGGTTCTACTGACTGGCAGTCTCGTCTGTCTTCCCAACCAGACTGCCTCGTGTCAGCCCACCAGGCCTGGCATGTGAGGCTCCTCACAGTCAGACCTGACCCTTGTCCTGAGTTTGAAACCCCTGTGAGGCTCCTCACAGTCTGACCTAACCCTTCTCCTGAGTTCCACCCCCTGCTGCCAATAACTAGCACTTTGACCTGCAAGCACTCAGCCTCTTCAAGGTCAGTTTCCACCTCTGAAAAATGAAATGCTTATTTTGTGGGGCTCTTGACAGGATTAAAGGAGAATAATTTTAAAAGGCCCAACATAACCAAATGACCAGTAGGTATTCAGTAAACCCTACTATTATTTTTTCCCATTCTGCCCCTTGACTGTGGCATGCATATTTCCCTTCTCTACCTACCTCTTCCCCCAGCCTAGAATATCAGCTCTTTTCAGCCCCTTTTCTCCAATCAAGCCCTTTCCATACTTTCAGACTTTGCCTCAAGTCCACAGCTCCATTGATTTGTCCAGCCTGTGGGAACCAGCCTTTCTCTCTTAAATCTGGAGCCCTTAGCTACCTGTTTTCACACAAAACACTCATTAGTCCACAATTTCATACTGCCTTCTTACAACATCCTTTCCACTACTGCATTAGCTCATTGTCACATATTTTCAACTAAATTGTAGGAAGCTCATGCAGTATTTGCATATTAATAATGTCCATAGCCCCACCCAAAATCTCCAGCAGTATTTGCTGAATGAAAAGTTGTATTGTACCAGACTCAACTGAGAATTAAAATATTCAGTTGTATGGCATAAAGAGAAGTAATATGCAACATGAGAATACTGATTATTAAATGTCTTGGCTTCAGACATTAATTTGGCTGTGGGGACTGGATCTGTTCTCAGCAGGGCTTGGAGTATTTTGTAAGCATGAGTTTCTTGGCTGAAATGCACCACTCTGCAGTGAAACCTGTAACCATTCAAAATAAGTGAATTCCATATGCAGGAAAAGTTGAGAGCCAACTCTGGGAACTTTGATTTTCTTACCTCCCACATTTAAAGGAACCACTCTTGTCCCAGTGAGACAACAGACGCAGACATGAACTTTTGTTCTTGGTCTACAGGATATTTTTTTGAAAGGTGGGGAGGGGAGAGGGGGGACAAACAATTTGGAATAAAGATTTCCAGCATTCTCTGTATTCCTGAAACAATGTTGAAATAGACATTTTCCCGAGGAAGCCATTATAAGCTATTGTGTTTGACCATTGCAGAGCTGGTCTTTTCCATTCAAAGCTATTTAATGTTTGCTTATTATTATTCCTGCAGAAACATTTTTGGATCCCATCCTTTCCCTCCACTCTCATGAATATGGTCAAAATAGTTGCACATTGCCATTGGACCAGGTTTCACGTCTGCCACCACACCTAGCTATCTCCACTGTTACTTTGTGGCTGGCTGAGCAGAAGTAACTCATCATTTCATAGATGAATAGAAACTCTGGTCATTGGCTGAACTCTTAGGAGTTCCTTTCTTCTTTTCTGAATACCTGCAATTGTTAAGGTTTTAAATTCATTATCCTGTTTAATCCTCAAAATGCCTCATGGGGAGATCATACAGTTGTCTTTCTTTGACAGAAGACAGAGGACCAACAGGCGAGATGGCATAACTCAGAAGTGACAGGCATTTGGCCATCTCAGGGGTATATATTGACCAACTGGGATACAAGGGACAGGAAAGCATTGGGCAGATAGTTCCACATCTCCCATGGAGTGGTCACTCTTCCAGAAAATTCCCCCTTGGGGAATGGACATACCTGCGGCACAGTCTGCTGTTTCTTTTTGTGGCTCATTGAGATGCCATGGCCAGTGCAGTAATGTGTTCCATCACATTGATTCACATCTTTTTCTGCCTCACACCACCCTTTTCCTTTACCCTCACTGCCCAAGGGTTATGCCTCCCAAATAAAATATCAGCACCTTAACCATTCTTCAGGCTCTGCTTTCTTGAGGACCTCGGTCAAGGAAAATTATTTTACATTGCCAATTTACAAAATTTGGTTATTGTTTTTAAAATTGCTCACTGAGTCATAAAGAGAATAATGAGCATAGTAACATAAACCAGAACTCAGAAAAGCATCTCAAATGTAAGCAGTGGGCAGGAATACCTAGTGAATATGGAATGAGTCTGTGTGGATCAAATAAGCGATCATTTCACATAAGAAACAGAAAAAGAAAAAGGTCAAGTTGAATGTGTATTGTCTTTGATTAAATTTTGTCAAACTTTTGCTTTATTTTCACACAAAACAATCTGAGTTCCCTAGTGGCACAACTGAGTTTTTATAGGACAAGCACAAGTTTGTGCTTTGTGGTATGCTAAAGAGGAGGCCAAAACCATAGAGACAGCATTTGAATATGCATCCCTTTTAGTAAAAACAAGTAGTTTACTTAGCTGCCATGAATCTTATAAAACCAGTCCCAAATTTACAAATGTTATGCCAGGAGAAAAAGCAGAGAAATTTATTCACAAAATTCTGGCACAAAACATCTCTATGGACATCACATAAAATTCAATGGCATAAAATGTGGAAAAGCCAATATTATATGTGCATGAGCAGGTATTTTACTTCATAGCTGGATAAAATGCTCATGTTGAACATATGAGTCAACTTTTGGCCCATGTACAAGTCAAGTTAGGCTGGACTATATACGGTAACAAATAAACCCTGAAACCATGCCTCTAAAGCCTGCTGCAGCTGGGGGACCCCCTTCCATGTTGTAGCTGGGCCATGTAGCACAAGGGTCTTTCAAGGTCCCTGCAGCATGGAAGAGATGAAGGAGGCATACTGGCTCTTAAATACATTGGTCTGGAAATGACACGCTGAGAAATGCCAGTAGGAGACAAGGTGGGTACAACATAACATAATGATCGTCCCTGCCATAGCACTTGTATGAGGGACAAGAATGAATCACTTTGTCCTTGCTGCTTACCCATGAGAACCCATACTATGGGAAATGACATGTGTGTGTGACCTGGAAGAGCTGTCATGGGATCTGTGTCCTCAAGAGGGGGATTGCCAGATAAAGACAGGAAGCTATGTCTGA